TATAAAACTCAACAATTACTGAACCTAACTGGAAATATTACAACAACTGACAAATCACTATGGACTACAACCAAAAAACTTCTGAAGTTTAAAGATTTTAATCACCCACTTCTTACTGAATCCCAAACCTGGTCCAAATCCGACGAAGAAAAAGCCCAGTTATTCGGTCAACATCTGTTCCAAATTTTCAACCCACATCCTGATATCCTTAATCCAACCCACATCGAATGTATTGAATCAGAACTGGATACTCCTCTCCAAATGTCCCTACCACCTAAAGCATTTCATCCCACAGAAATATCCAACATCATTCAAAGATTACCCTCCTACAAAGCTCCTGGACATGACCTAATAACATCCCAGATCTTGAAACTTCTTCCTCGAAAAGCCATCCTATTCCTTACTTTCATATATAATGCTGTACTCCGATCAACATATTTCCCTGATCCTTGGAAAATATCTATTGTCAAAATGATCCACAAACCCAAAAAGCCACCAGAATATCCATCCTCTTACCGTCCCATCTCTCTGTTACCCATCATGGGAAAAATCCTGGAAAAACTAATCTTAAAACGCCTGTACCCAATCCTAGATTCTAATCACATAATCCCAGATCACCAATTTGGATTCCGCTCCTCCCATTCCACTATACAGCAATGCCATCGTGTGGTAGACGTAGTATCCTCTGCATTGGAGCGCGGTATGTACTGTACGGGAGCCTTTCTCGATGTTGAACAGGCGTTTGATAGAGTTTGGCACCCGGGACTGCTGTACAAACTCCGAAAATTCCTACCATCTACCTACTTCCTCATTATCCGTTCCTACCTTACTGATAGATACTTTAAAGTAAATCACAACAATGTATATACATCCCGTTTTTCCCAGTCTGCAGGTGTTCCTCAAGGTAGTATCCTAGGTCCTATCCTTTACACAGTTTATACAGCTGACATCCCAACCCATCCCAACACTGTCATCACCACATATGCTGATGACACATGTATCCTATCAGTCAATAACGACCCATCTATTGCATCCCAAACCCTTCAATCCCACATCACAAACCTGGAAGAATGGTGTCAGAAATGGAGAATTAAAATAAATTCCAATAAATCCCATCAAATTACCTTCACCCTTCGTCGTAAACCAATGACTTCCTGTCCTTCAGTATCCTTTAACAACACCTCACTTATTCCTGTTGAACAAATCCGTTACCTAGGACTCCATCTGGACAAACGTCTAACTTGGAATCCTCATACCAGACTGAAACGACAAGAAACCGCTCGACGTTTCCGACTACTTCAACACTTACTAGACAAACGCTCTAACCTTCCAATCAATTATAAAAGACTGATTTACATGACTATAATAAGGCCTATTTGGACTTACGGGGTTGAGCTATGGGGCTCCACCAAGCCTTCAAATTCCTCTCGCATACAGTCCTTGCAATCCAAAATCCTTCGTAAAATCCTCAATGCTCCTTACTTTGTTACAAATAAAATTATCCATAATGACCTTAATGTTCCTTATGTATCAGATTTGGCCCAATCCAGATATCTGTCCTTCCATAATAAACTTCATAACCATCCCAACCCTCTTGTCTCTAACCTTGCTTCCTATTCGATTCCTGATAACCCTCCGAGGCGTCTGAAAAGAAGATGGCCACGTGATCTTCTAATATAGACATATTATTAGAGTGCTACCAATGGGTAGTTTCTCAACAAGTGTTCCATGTCTTTATACCAATGTGCAAATTTACTAGATGTATTTTTTTTGTATACAGTTGTAAATATCATTTAAAATAAATAAAAAAAAAAAAAAAAGATTTTTATAAATTTGGCAGCCTTTGTAGTTGGCTGGATGGCCTTCCAGGCATAGGGCACAGATTGCTGGTTCTGTAATTGGTTTATTACACTCGCCAGACTTGTGTGTTTTACCACATTTCACGCAGCGTGGTAAGTGGTGGCAATAAGACTTGGTGTGGCCATATGCTTGGCAATTATGGCACTGGATGAACTCTCTTTTTGGGTACGGTTTTTCGACCTTTACGCTGGTGTAGAAAATTCTATTCACATCGTATATTTTTTCGATCCCAGGCGATGGTTCTAGATCGACGAAAAATAAGGGCAATGGGATTTTATTCTTTACACCTGGTTGTTCTTTATTTTCTTTTAAAACATTGGTTATCTGACGTATTTTGAACCCTAACGCCGTTAACTCTTCTTTAATCACTTCTATCGGGGTTGAGGAGTGTAAATTTCTTATTACAACTCGTAGTGCTCTTTCCTGTTTCAACTGGTATGTGTGAAAGTCCGCATTTGTGTCTGTTAAATATTTTACGATTTTTCGGTACGCTTCAGGTGTGGCCGGTATTATTTTTGTATCATTTATTCTGTTTAGGCATGTATACCGGATGTGAAATAAATGTATTGGATAGGTGAATGGCGAACTCCTCAGCCTTATCTTCGTCAGATGCTGCCCAGGAGCCATCATCTCGTCGGAGGGGATGGGAAATGCGGTGAGGATTTAGGATTTTAGTTGAGGTTTTCCAAAGGGAATTGTCGCGAAATGAGAGGGAGGATAGGTAGTAGTTGAAGGATCGTGATCTGAAGGTAGCTAATTCTAGTTTTAATTTTTTGCAGTAATAATTATAGGTGCAGCGGTTGGTAGGATGTCGAGTACGTTGCCACAATAATCTGGCACGGCGTTTGGTGGTGATTAGGTCAAGGATGTGTTATGTGTGGTGAAAGTTCATTTAGACGTGTAATGGAACAATTGAGGGGACTTAAGCCGCTGTGGATAAAGAAATAATGAAGATCAGGATTACGGTTGGGATCTGTGGGCCAGTAGGTAGGAGAGTTGGGAGAAAGGAGGTGAAAACGTTGGGAGTTGAGTGCAGATTTCAGGGTTTGGCCACGAGAATTCATGGTTCTGGAACCCCATTGTTGGTGCTTGGCATTTAGGTCTGCACACAAGATGAAGTGATGTCCTAAGGAGTCGAGGAGAGAACTAAATTGGGAATTGGATATAGATCGGTTAGGAGGGCAATACGCTGTTGCAAGAGTAACCGAAAAGGAGAAGGTTTTTATCACGATTGCGGTGGACTGTAGGAAATCATGTATAGGTAATGGGAGTGCGTGATGGGAGAGGGATTGGTGTACAATTACAGCAGTACCGGCATGTGCTTTTCCGTCAGGGTGGTCAGTACGATATGTCAGGTATTGTGGTATTTTGAAGTGCTGTTTAGTGGTTAGTTGAGTTTCAGTAATTAGTGCCACATCAATGTTCTTGTCAAGTAGTAAAGTATATAGTTCGTCTGTATGATTTCTAACACCATTCGCATTCCAAAGGAGAATGGATATGGGTTTAGGGATGTGAGTCATTTAAGGATTTTTTAAAGGAGGGATGAGATGAGATACAAGATTTGTGAGGAGTGATATGAGTGGAGTAACAAGGGATTTGAAATCGGTGAGGAAGGATGCTAACAAACTTGTGAGATCTGTTGCATTTGAAGGAGGAGGAATATGAGGAATTTGTTGTTGATGGTTAGGTATATTAGGATGAAGAGGATTTTGAGATTGGGATTGAGGTTGTTGTTGTGGCAGGGCTTGACATTTATCGGTTGAAGTCTTACCTCTAAGTAGTTGGGAGAATGATACATCATTGTTTACAATTCTGGAAGGCTCTCTCTCTCTTCTTGTTCTTAGTGCTTCATCTTGAATCCGGTTTTTCTGGTGTCTGGTTTTGAGATTCTTGTAAATTTGGCAGCCTTTGTAGTTGGCCGGGTGTTCCTCCAAGCATAGGGCACATACTGCTGGATCTTGTATAGGTTTGGTGCACTCTACAGATTTGTGCTGTTCACCGCACTTCACGCAACGCCGCAGATGGTGGCAATATGTCTTCGTATGGCCATAGGTCTGACAATTATGGCACTACACGATGTCTCTCTTGGGGTATGGCTTCTCAACTTTCACCATTGTGTAGTATATTCTTGTGATATCATATATTTTTTCGATACCTGGTGATGGCTCCAAGTCCACGAAAAACAATGGTAGTGGGATCCTATTTCGTAATCCTGGCTGCTCCCTGTCCTCCTTCAAAACGTTTGTTACCTGGCGTACATTGAAACCAAGCGTCGTTAGTTCTTCTTTAATAACTTCAGTGGGGGTTGATGAGTGTAAATTTCTTATCACTACTCGTAACGCTCTTTCCTGCCTCAGCTGGTAAGTGTGAAAATTCGCATTTGTTTCTGATAAGTACTTCACTATTTTTCGGTAGGCTTCAGCAGAATTAGGTGTTATTTTGGTGTCATTGGTCCTGATAAAGCATGAATAACAGCCAGGGCAGATTTTATTTAGTTGGGTGCAGAACATCTGGAAATTTTGGATATTTTTCACAAATATCGGAAGAGGCTTTGCTTCTCTGGGTATTGCTGTAGAATACATTACTTCTCGGTCATTTTGAAGCACTTGGTAGGGGTTTGGAGTAAAGAAAGGCGATTCTTCAATCATTTCTTGCGAAGACGTACCTGGTTGGTTCTGAGGTTTTGGTTCTGAAGTGTTCACTTTGGTCACTGGAGGTATTTCTAGTAGGCAGCGACGAGTTCTTTAGTGAATAACGTGGTGTACTAACGCCGTCTGACCGAGTCCTATTGGGCACCTTACTGGCCATAACTTGCTGATCATACCGCATATTATAAGAGAAAAATAAAGGAAGAAGGAAAAAAAAAAAAAGAAAAGAAAAATTAAAAATAACAAAACAAAAAAAGATGTCAACAGTAAATATCAACTGCTCGGGTGTACACTTTAACTGTATTACGTGAATAATCAGAGAGATTCCGCTATAAAATAGGCAAAAACTGATAGAGGAGTTGAGAAGACAACCTTCGCATCAGCTGATCACTGCCTTCTCCTTGAAAAAATTAAGAAAATCATTTGTATTAAAATCCAGGCCTTAATTATAAACAACAAAAACATTTAATGACAATAACAATCTGATTTCAGGTGGTAACCATCAGAACAGTACAAGATCTTTTTTAGGATTCCACTTTTGGAAACACAGCCATACAACGCGAAAGACAACTACAGGGAAGTTGACGAAATCTGCTGACAAGGAACACTCAAATAAAACTAAAGAATCAGCAAAACAAACGAAAAGTCAGTAAAAAGACTTCATTACGGTAGTTGTTTGTATTACTATGCATTACTTAGTTGATGAAAGTATGCTTCTTTCTAAAATACAGATTAAAAAAAATTAAAAATTTTCTTAAATTATGTCGCAAAATTAATTAATGTAAGAAGCATGATATGGAACATTTGTTTATGTTGGAAATGAATTCAATTATTAAAAAAATGCTAAGCTTGAATATAAAATATAATGAAGTGTTGGACAAATGTAAAAATTCGACAAAATCTTATTTTAAAAAAACAAATGATGAATATTAATTGTATTGAAATCTAGGCCTTAATTATAAGTAACAAAAACATTTAATGACAATAAAAATTTGATTTTAGATGGTACCCATCAGAATAGTACGATAAGATCTTTTTTAGGATTTAACTTTTGGAAACACGGTCGTACAAATGGAAAGTTGACGACGTCTTCTGACAAGGCACATTCAAATAAAAACAAGGAATCAGCAAAACAAACAAAAGGTCAGTAAAAAGACTTCATTATGGCAGTTGTTTGTATTACTATGCATTACTTTAGTTGAAGAAAGCCTGTTTCTTTCTAAATTACAGAATAAAAAAAATTAAAACTTTTCTTAAATTATATCACAAAATTAATTGACATAACAATTAAAAGTCGAATATTTGTTTTTTTTATGTTTGAAAGAAATTCAATTTTTTTTTATAGATAGTTTTGATTTTTTATTAATTTATTGAGTATTACAGCAATCTGTCACTGGTCATTGGTGATAGTGAATTCGGATAAATTCACACTATATTTACATAAAAATATAAAATAAATAGAAGCAAAATAATAATCAAAAGATATATACAATAAATAAAATGAAATAACTTAATAAACCAAAAATTGCCATTGCCAGAACTCCAATATATACAATCTTCAAAAGGTCGCGGGGCCACTGCCGTTTCAATCTTCTTGAAGGATTATAGGGATGGGTGGTGCTTAATAGAGATGGTGCAAGAGGGTTTAGATGATACGTAAGGTTCTGGTGAAATTTCGAGAATTTTTGTGGGACAAATGTGATGTTGAGGTCATGATGTAGTGTTTTGTTGGTTGCATAGAAAGGATCATGGACTATTGTTCGAAGGACTTTTAACTGGAAGGACTGGATGCTTTTGATGTTTGTTTTTTTTTTTCTGTTTTCCACAGTTCTAGTCCGTAACTTGTTTTGAATAGAAAGTTTACATTATCTGTTTGGTAATCTGTATATTTGGCCGTATCTTCGGTCAAGTTCCTGTTTTTTAAGTCTAGTATGAGGATATCCACGTTAGTCGTCCGTCTAAAAGAAAGCCAAGATACCGCACTGTAAGTTTGAAAGGAAGCTGGATGGTGTTAAAATAAAGTGGTGGACAGGATTTACGACAAAGAGTGAAGGTAATGTGTTTACAATTATTAAGAATATGGCTAAGCATAAATATGAAATACAATCAATTGTTGGACAAATATTCAATATAAAAAATTGACAAAATATTAGTGAATGATTTGTTTTGTGAAGACATTGGCTCATTCTTTAAAAAAATACATATAAAATCATTTGTATTGAAATCTAGGCCTTAATTATAACTAACAAAAACATTTAATGACAAGAACAATTTGATTTCAGGTGGTAGCTCTCAGAATGGAGTCAAAAAATCTTTTTTAGGATTCCCTTTTCGAAAATCCAATCCTACGAGTACTACAAAAAAGACCACTACCAAAATGTTAATCACGCCTATTGACAAGGCACATTCAAATAGAAATAAAGAATTAGCAAAAGAAACAAAAAGTGAGTAAAAATAGTTCATTTTCTTAGCTTTTAATTAATACCATTCATTAATATAGGAAAGCTTTTTTTGTAATAATATTAAACCTATCTATTAAGAAGGCAAAATCAATCCTTCGATAAATCGACTTATAAATTCGACTAATTTTTTTTTAAAAAATTTGATTTTCGCAAGGATGGACAGATTAAAGAATTTTCATAATAAAGGTTGAGAGTATTATATCGAATATCTAAAGAACAGTAACTTTAAAGCAGGGTCGGAAATAACGGGATAAAGGGGACACTTCCCACTGGTGGCAGAATTTGAAAAGCAGCAAATTACGATTGAATTGTTGTTAAGCTTTAAGAAATAATATTTTCAACGTTTTAGTTGTTTTAACTTCAATCTATTCAATAAACTGAAAAAAACAATATTTAAATTATAACATTTATTTCGATATATATCACGTAAAATGTATCTTTTTTTTTCTCTTTTATTGAATAATATTGTATTTTGTGTTAACTGGTATATTTGGTCATTTAATTGGTGTACATTAAAGTTGAAAGTTAATCGATTTTAAATTAATAGATTTTTCACCGGTCTTTGGCACTTCTGTGCTACGGGGCTTGTTATCGAGAGGCCTATTCATTATCGAATGTATCTTAATTATGGATTACCCTGTTGTTTTCAAGGAAATCATACAGTCACCCGAAGGTTTACGATATCGGTGGTAGACCTCGAGGAAAAAAATATTAGATCTTAGTGCGCCTGCTGACCCCAGCAGCCATATTGAGTGGATCTAGACTGATTTGTCACTATCCATTATTATTTATTTATTATTTTAAATTCAAAGCATGGATCAAAAAATAGGTTATAATGGCACCAACAACATACTTTTAGGTAATCAAAAAGGACGCAGATATTATTTAAGAATTCGATCGAAAAATTATAAAAAAACATCTACCACAATCAAGCCAGACGTTGCAACTTGCAAACACTGCTGTACAACAACCAAGAGCAAAAATCGTAAGTAAAAAATCCTTAATTACAATTGATGTTAAACAATAGAATTTATCCTTACTGGCCTTCAGCAAATGAAATTTTCTTTCCTTTAAACAATAGAGCATGTTGATTAAATGATATACTAAATTATTGAATAATTTCTTTTTATTTTGCTTATTTATTTATTTAGAAATATTACAATCTGTCACAATTAAGGACATTTATAATAGTGTTCAAAGAGCACATTTACACTCTATTTACAATAAATAATACAGAAACTAATAATAATAAAAGTAAATATATTGAATAACTAGATATGTTTTAGAGTAATAGGTTTATATTTTTTATTTGTTATGATTTTCTCTTTTAATGGGAAATGTTGGTTGCAAGAAATGGGTAGGGGAATTAATGATACCAACCTGTTGTCTGGAGACTTAAAAAGAAAAAAAAAAAGGTTTGGTTATTTCATGAAACTTATTATTTAGTCATAACCACTAGCGGATCCAGGATTTTTTTTTTTTTTTTTTAGGGGGAAGGAGGGCTTCAGTCCGAAAGCATATACACATATAACGATAATTACCTTAGAAGAAAAAGAAAGAAACTAACTACCTATATAAAATGTTGGTAAAGTGAGTCGTGAAGTCCAATTAAATGAAATTACACGAACAATAATACTTTTAGACATAATTTTTTTTAAAAGACATGGTTATATTTTACCGTTTTGGGTAGGGCTTCAGCCTGAAATCTCTCCCTCTCCCCCCGTAGATCCTCTGGTTGCACAGTCGGATTTACGGGGGGAGGGAGGGGGAGCTTTCGGGCTGAAGCCCCCCCCCCCAAAATGGTAAAATATAACCATGTTTTATAGAAAAAAGTATTAAAAACTATCTCTTAAAGTATTATTGTTCGTGTAATTACATTTAATTGGACTTCAAGAATCCCTTAAACACCATTTCATATAGGTAGTTCATTTCTTTTTTCTTTTTTTTTTAAATTATTTTATTTAATTTATTTTATTTTATTGTATTTATTTTATTTTATTGTATTTATTTTTATTTAATTTTATATTTATTTTATTTTATTGTATTTATTTTTATTTTATTTTATTGTATTTATTATTATTAAGTTTCTGTATTATTTTTTTTTTTTTATTGTAAATAGAGAGTGAGTGTGCTTTCTCTGAACACTATTATAAATGTCCTTGATGTGACAGAATGTAATATTTCTAAATAAACAAATATAAAAGAAAAATTAACTATCGTTATATATATGAAAAAAAAATCATTCGGGCTGAAGCCCCCACCAAAATTAAATCCTGAATCCGCTAGTGTCCGGTGGTCATATCACCGCATTTCTCATAACCAGCAACGTTTGTTTCACTATTGTCAAATATGCGTTAAACCTGTTTGTCAGAAATGGCTAAGTAGTGAGAAAAAAAAAATGTTTTACTATTAGTCTAAATGAATATATCCATTGTTATTCAAGCGTTATTTATATTTTTACATAAACTTCATAACCATCCCAACCCTCTTGTCTCTAACCTTGCTTCCTATTCGATTCCTGATAACCCTCCGAGGCGTCTGAAAAGAAGATGGCCACGTGATCTTCTAATATAGACATATTATTAGAGTGCTACCAATGGGTAGTTTCTCAACATGTGTTCCATGTCTTTATACCAATGTGCGAGTTTACCAGATGTATTTTTTGTATACAGTTGTAAATATCATTTAAAATAAATAATTAAAAAAATATTTTTACAGCGTTGCATGCATTTTGAAGCCAAAACAAAAAAAAAATTTAGTGAAATTCATTTTATTGTGAATTTTTATTGATACATTTATATTTTAGTTAGTATTTAGTTGGAATTTAGATGTAATTAATGATTTCAACATTGATGAAAATAAATAAACTGCTTAGGTAATTTAAAATTAAATTTTTGATCTAGGACTGATCCACTCTATGTATTAATACTCTTAAAAATATTTTTTGTTTTATGAAGTAATGTTATTTCTTAAAATTCTATTTTTTGTAAACATTATGCTTTAATGATCCTATTCAGTTTTACCATCTTTATTTTATGATTTTCATGTTTGAAAAATTTTATACTCTATGGGTACTGTTGTGCATTATGTACAATTTTAATAAATCGTTTAAAATATTTTGAGATCTATAAATTGATTTTGGAAACTTCAGACCTTCAAATCTGGGTGTTAGTAATAAGTTTTTATTATTATTAAAACACTTTATTCAGAAATATTACAATTTGTCACAGTTAAGGACACTTATAATAGAGTTCAGAGATTGCATTCATACCGTATATACAAAAATATAAATAAATAAAGTAATAACAAAAGAATAAGAAGAAAGAACAAAAGAGTAAAGAAAAAAAAATAATATATATACACATAAGTAAATAAAAATAGAAATAAAAGTAAAACAAACACCTTATATAAAACATACATTATTTACAATTTGCCAGGTGATCTCCGAACCAATCCTGTCCCCTCCACATGTGGAGGGAAAAGGGAGGCCTAGGAGATCCCTACGCTTCTCCCTCAGCCACTTCACTGGTATTTTAAACCAGCGGAGGATGAGTAAGAGCGCTACAGCCACAGACACTCATGACTTGAGTGGAGAATCTGGCCATTGCTAGAACTCCAAAATATCCATATTTACAAAAGGTCTCGTGGCCACTGCCGCTTTAACCTACGAAGGGGATTGTAGGGATGGGTGGTGCTTGATAGGGATTGTACAACGGGATTTGGGTGATGAGAAAGGTTCTGGTGAAATTTGGAAAATTTGGCTGGGATAAGATCAAGAATAAATGGGATATTAAGGTCATGATGTAGGGTTTTATTGGTTACATAGAAGGGAGCATTGACTATTGTACGGAGGACTTTAGACTGAAAGGATTGAATGCGTTTGATGTTAGAAAATTTGGCTGTTCCCCATAGTTCTAGTCCGTAAGTCCAGATGGGTTTCAGTATTGTCTTGTAGATCAGTAATTTGTTTTCACCAGAAAGTTTAGATTTTCTATTCAGTAGTCTATATAGCTGGCCATATCGTCTGTTAAGTTCCTGTCTTTTAAGTCGAGTATGTGGATTCCATGTTAGTCGTCTGTCTAAGAGAAAGCCAAGATACCGGACTGTATCTGAGAAAGGAAGCTGGATGGAGTTAAAATAAACTGGTGGGCAGGTATTACGCCGAAGGGTGAAGGTAATGTGTTTACATTTAGATTCGTTTACCTTAATGCGCCATTTCTTACACCAGTGTTCAATCAGGAAGAGGTGCCTTTGTAAGTTTGCGGACGCTGTTTCAGGATCTGAGTTGGAAGAAAGGATAGCAGTGTCATCAGCGAAAGTTGCCAGGAGGGTATCGGGATGGACAGGAATATCAGCGGTAAAGAGAATGTAAAGGATGGGGCCCAAGACGCTGCCTTGAGGAACGCCAGCCTCAATTGAGTAACAGTCGGAGAATTCGGTGCCACAGCGAACTCGGAAGGAGCGGTCGGAAAGATAGGATCGGAGTACTAGGTATAAGGACTGTGGTAGATGGATTTTAAGCTTGAAGAGTAATCCGGCGTGCCATACCCGGTCAAAAGCTTGCGCTATGTCCAGAAATGCACCCGAGCAATACTGCTTGCTTTCTAGGGTTGAGGATATATGGTCAACAACTCGGAGTCCTTGCTGGACAGTGGAATGTTGGGAACGAAATCCGAATTGATGAGTAGGAAGGTTATAGGATTCAATTATAGGTAGGATTCGTTTCAGTAGGATCTTTTCAAAAATTTTTGAGAGGATTGGGAGTAGGCTAATTGGTCTATAGGATGCTGTATTGTTGGAAGGTTTGCCTGGTTTCAAGAAGAGGACGATGGTGGAATGTTTCCATAAAAGAGGGAAGTGGGTAGTTCGTAGGATGCAATTGTATATATATGTAAGAAATGTGATGGCTTTAGATGGAAGTTGTCGAAGGATCTGTGGGGTTAGAAGGTCATATCCAGGAGATTTGCGAGGTGTGATTTTCCGTAAAAGGTATTTGACCTCAGAGGGATTAACAGCTTTAGGTGGTAAGGAGAGTGGGATAGGTATTGAGAGGGATTCTTCTACTTTTACTGTGTGGCTGGGATGGGATTCTGGATGAGGAGCGAAAGTATAGGAAAGGTGTTTGGCAAATTCCTCGGCTTTATCTTCATCAGATGCTGCCCAGGAGCCATCATCTCGTCGAAGAGGGTGGGAAATATGATGGGATTTGAGGATTTTTCTGGTGATATTCCAAAGGGAATTATCATGAGCAGAGAGTGTGGTGAGGTAGGAATTGAATGATTGGGATCTGAAGGTGGCTAATTCTTTTTTTAATTTTTTACAGTGATAATTGTAGGAGTGGCGGTCGGCTGGATGTCTGGTACGTTGCCATAATAATCTGGCACGGCGTTTTATGTGGATTAGGTCAAGGAGGTGTTGAGGTAAATTATGTTTCTTAAGGATTTTTGAGGAGTGATCAGGGGAGGAAGCAGTCCAGACTGCTTCTTGAATTTTGGTAGTGAAGGAATGTACTGCATTGTCCAGGTCTTCAGAGGTTTTCAGGGTTACTCTGAGGTCAATTTTATCGGAGAGGATTTGATGAAAGAGTTTCCAGTTAACTGGGCCTCTGATGAAGGACGGAGGAGAGGGTTTAGGAATAGGAGCTAGTGATACTTGGAGTATTAATGGGCTGTGGTCTGAGGAAAGCTCGTCAAGACGGGCAACGGAATGGTTGAGAGCACCTAAACCATTATGGATAAAGAAATCGAGGATATCGGGATTACGGTTAGGATCAGTGGGCCAGTAGGTAGGTGAGTTGGGTGGAAGAAGGGTAAAATTTTGGGAATTGAGTACAGACAGCAATGTTCGACCACGAGAATTCGTGGTTCTTGAACCCCATTGTTGATGTTTGGCGTTTAAGTCTGCACCCAAGATGAAATGATGTCCTAAGGAAATGAGGAAGGAACTAAATTGGATATTGGAGATGGATTGGTTTGGAGGGCAATACGCTGATGCAACGGTAATAGGAAAGGAGAAGGTTTTGATTACGACTGCGGTGGATTGTAGGAAATCGTGTGTAGGCAGTGGGAGTAGGTGATGGGAGAGGGATTGGTGCACAATGACTGCAGTACCGGCATGTGCTCTACCGTCAGGATGGTCGGTACGGTAAGTTATGTATTGTGGTATTTTTAGGAGCTGTTTTTTAGTCAGTCGAGTTTCCGTTATTAGGGCTACGTCTACGTTCTTGTCTTGTAGTAAGGCTGTTAGTTCGTGTATGTGATTTCTAACACCATTCGCATTCCAAAGGAGAATGGATATGGGTTTGATGGAAGTCATTTAAGGATTTTTTAAAGGAGGGATAAGGTGAGATACTAGGTTAGTGAGAAGTGATATCAGTGGGGTAACAAGGGATTTAAATTCTGAAAGAAAGGATGTCAATAAGCTGGTTAGATCTGTAGCATTAGGCGGTGGAGGAACATATTGGATTTGATGTTGGTGAGGTTGTTGTTGATTAGGTACATTAGGTGGGATAGGATATTGAGATTGGGGTTGAGTTTGTTCTTGCGGCAGGGCCTCACATACATTAGTCGGGTCTCTACCCCCAAGTAGCTTGGCAAAAGAAACCTTAGAGTTCACAATTTTAGCGGGTCCTCTTCTTGGTTTAGGTGTATCATCAGGGTCCCTGGGTTTCATATATCTCGCTTTAAGATTTTTATAAATTTGGCAGCCTTTGTAGTTGGCTGGATGGCCTTCCAGGCATAGGGCACAGACTGCTGGTTCTGTAATTGGTTTATTACACTCGCCAGACTTGTGTGTTTTACCACATTTCACGCAGCGTGGTAAGTGGTGGCAATAAGACTTGGTGTGGCCATATGCTTGGCAATTATGGCACTGGATGAACTCTCTTTTTGGGTACGGTTTTTCGACCTTTACGCTGGTGTAGAAAATTCTATTCACATCGTATATTTTCTCGATCCCAGGCGATGGCTCTAGATCGACGAAAAATAAGGGCAATGGGATTTTATTCTTTACACCTGGTTGTTCTTTATTTTCTTTTAAAACATTGGTTATCTGACGTATTTTGAACCCTAACGCCGTTAACTCTTCTTTAATCACTTCTATTGGGGTTGAGGAGTGTAAATTTCTTATTACAACTCGTAGTGCTCTTTCCTGTTTCAACTGGTATGTGTGAAAGTCCGCATTTGTGTCTGTTAAATATTTTACGATTTTTCGGTACGCTTCAGGTGTGGCCGGTATTATTTTTGTATCGTTTATTCTGTTTAGGCATGTATAGCTACCTGGGCAGATTTTATTAAGTTGAGTACACAACAACTGGAAATTTCTCAAATTTTTGACAAAGATAGGAGGTGGGCGTGGTTCTCGAGGTATAGGTGCATCTTCCATTTCTTCCCTGTCATTTTCAAGCACCTGGTATGGATTAGGTGTAAAAAATGGAGATTCCATTTCTTGTGAAGACGTACTTGGCAGTGGTTGAGACACAGATTCTTGAGTGTTCGCTGGAGGAGTTCCGGGGGGTGTTAATCGCTTACTACGACGTGTTTTCTGTTTAGGCGGTGAATTACGTGGGGTAGAGCCAACTGAATGGGACCTCTTAGTTGACATTACTTGGTGATAATATCGCATATAAAAAAAAAATAAAAGGGAAAAAAAAATAAATAAATAAAACTACGTCTGCTTGTTATTACAATGGATGAACCACCGGCTGAGAAACAGCCAGTTACGTGGCAGAGCCACAACTGGAGAGGGGAGCCGTCAGCTGTTATGGCTATAGAGATTAAGCCTATAGACGCTAAATCACTAAATTCACTGTCTGTAATAGTACACAGTAAATAACAACACTACTCACTGTGGTGTTAGTCCATTGTTGTTGTTTTGATGTCTGCTTAACTAGTTTTTTTTAAAAAAAGTAAAACTGAGCACTTATTCTACTAAAATATAGTAAAACTGTGGGACACGACGTGAAATGTGGGTATTCAAATCAAGCGCATGCGCAGAACTACCCAGTAATAAGTTAAGTCAAAAATATAAATTAAATAAAGTTAGAAATATAAATTGACTATTTTCACTTTCTAATTAACGTACAAGCGGCTTAGAAATTCAATTCTGAGCATGAATTATTATTTGCTTCATATTCATTCATCATTCCTACTATTATTATTTTATTTTTTTAGAAGGGAAACCATTTCCAAATCTAAACCCAAATATTGAGAAACTTCATCGATATATGAACAAGGAAGTCCTTAAAAACACAAAGTTGAACAATCATGGTTTGTTGAAGAGGTCCCTGCACAAATTGAGCGGGTTAATCAGTAAGTTTTTTATTTATTTATTTATTTATTCAGAAATATCACAATCTATAATAGTGTTCAAAGAGCACATTCACACTCTATTTACAATAAATAAAAATAAATAATACAGAAACTAATAATAAGAAAAGTAAATATATATAAACAAGAGGACTAAGCCAATAAAATAACAACTAAAACACAAGCATACTATACAATATTTACAGAATCCATTCACTCAGGAGAACTTTCGTTCGAAACGCCAAGCCTTTCGTCCCACTCGTGGAAGGAAAGGCAGGACTCTAGGAGATCCCAGCGCCTCGCACTCAAGCACATTACTCGTAATAGAACCAGTTGAGGCTGAGGAGAGGCGCTATAATCACACATACTTGGCTTGAGTGGAGGATCTGGCCATTGCCAGAACTCCAATATAGGCTTATTCATAGAAGGTCTCTGGGCTACTGCCGTAGAAGTCAACCTTCGAGGAGGATTGTAAGGATGAGTGGTGCTGGATAGGGATTGTGCAAGGGGATTTGGATGATAGGTAAGGTTCTGGTGAAATTTGGAGAATTTTTTTAGGTCTAGGACAAATGGGATATTAAGGTCATGGTGTAGATTTTTGTTAGTTACATAGATTGGAGCATCAACTATTGTTCGAAGGACTGGATTGAAAGGATTAGATACATTTGATGTTAGAAAATTTTGCTGACCTCCACAGTTCAAGTCCTTATGTCCATATATGTTTCAGTATTGTCTTGTAGATAAGTAATTTGTTTTCAATAGAAAGTTTAGATTTTCTGTTTAGTAGTCTGTATAGCTGACCGTATCGTTGGTTGAGTTGAAAGCCAAGATACCGGACTCTGTCTGAGTAGTAAGGAAGCTGGATGGAATGAAAGTGTACTGGTGGACAGGAATTGCGTCGGAGTGTAAAGGTAATATGTTGGCATTTAGATTCATTCACTTTAATGTGCCAGTTATTACACTAGTGCTCAATCAAGAAGGGGTGCCTTTGCAGATTTAAGGATTCTATTTCGGGATCAGAGTTGGATGATAACATTGCGGTGTAGTCAGCGAATGTTGCAAAGAAAGCATCGGGATAAACAGGGATGACAACAGTAAAGAGGATGTTAAGCACGGGACCCAAGACACTGCCTTGGGGTACACCGGCTCTAACAGAGTAGAAATTGGAATATTCTGTTCCACAGCGAACTCGAAAGGAGCGGTCAGAGACGTAGGATCGGTGGACTAGGTACAACGACTGAAGTAAATGGATTTTAAGCTTGAAGAGGAAGCCGGCGTGCTATACCCGGTCAAATGCCTTTGCAATGTCCAGAAATGCACCCGAACTGTATTCCTTGTTTTCTAGGGCTGAGGAAATATGATCATCAACTTGGAGTCCTTGTTGAACAGTAGAACGTTTAGAGCGAAAACCAAACTGATGGGAAGGAATGTTTTGGGATTCTATAATGGGTAGGATTCGTTTCAACAGGATCTTTTCAAAAACTTTTGAAAGGATTGGGAGTAGGCTAATTGGTCTATAGGACGTTGAGCTATAATCAGTAAGTAATACCGACTTATTAACATAATCCATTCGTGACATTAGATTACAATACTTATTAAATAAATAAAATCAAGTACTAAAAAAAAAAAAAAAAAAGGTTTAGTCATATTATCTATTTCATGATGAAAGGTATAACTATGGGAATATTAGATTTTTTAGGAGACATAATTCTACCTCTTTGAGGCATTAGACAACCTAATTTTATTTAAATACTGTAAATAAAACCAATATTATATTGACTTTTTGGTTCGAAAGTTTCAATTTTCCTAAAAAGCGCTTCCGGTAGAGTAGGCCAACTATATTTTTGACATGAAAACAAATTTCAGATTTGTTTCTATCCTCCTTTAAAACTCTTAAATACGATTTTCTAATCTAATTAATTTCTAATTTCTTACTGCTAAAATAAAACAGAAAAGGAAAATTAAATTAGTCCTATTCGCAAACAACCTCAATCATAAAAAAAAAAGACATTTACATATGGTAATTCAATGTTATTATTAGTGTAATTAATGTTAGGTCTTATAACGGGGCAGAATGTGGGTCAGATCATGAATTAGTAATCGCGAAACTTCAACAAAAACTTAATATAAACTTAAAATGTTGATGAGAAAATTAAGAGTACAACGGAGTTGTTCACCAGCTGCATATCGATTTCAAAAAGGCTTACGATTCTATTGACCACTAGAAACTGTATAATATTCTTATCGAACAGGGAATCCCAAAAAAAAAAAATCTAGTCAGGATGTGATTGACGGAATCACTCAATAAAGTTAGAATAGCTAATAATTTATCCGAAAGGTTTGAGGTTCGTTCTGGTTAGAAACAAGGTGATTCCATTTCGCCTGCCCTGTTCAATATAGCTTTAGAACATGGCATTATTGAGGTTCGCTAAGCCTTATTATTATTAATTTAATTATAGTTATTTAATCTGTTAAATTAAAACAAAAAAACTACAAATACAACAAAATTTCATTAATATTTTTTTTTAGATATCAGCACAACGGTTCACTTAAAGCACACAAATCGACCAAAATGGTTCAAATCTTTTTTAAGAAGAGGATTTAGGCAAAGGGACAAAACAAAGAAAATCTCCCAGACTGTTACGGCACCAGCCAATATTACTTCATCTACAACTCTTCCTACCACTCTGGGGATAAAAGAAAATAATTCAAGCCGAAGTAAGTAATAAGTCTATATTTTGAGCTGCTAAATCATATGGCAAATCCGTAAAACCTTTAGAGTAAGGAAAATTACTCTATGTGTTATCATTATACATAAATTTATAAATATATGTTTATATCATAAAAAAATGTTTATAATTTAAATGGAAAGTTGGTTGAGGTTATAATTTGAATTAAATATTTGTTGTTAATGCTGTTTTTTGTTTCAGAATATACATCTCAATGTACAATTAATCCAGTGGATAAAACAAATGAGTACCTGATAACTATAGATGATGATGAAGAGGAATTTGAAGGTATTCACATCTTAATATTCTAAATAAATAAATTTGTCAGATAAACAAATTTAAAATTATGATACTGTACCAAAAAATTCACTGAACCTTCTAAACCTTATAAATATCAATTATTATATAAATCTTCATTTTTTTCTAGAATCTGAGACCCGTCCTTGGAAAGATGATGACATTTTTGAGGAATTCCCTGATTCTGTTAATAATGAAGGTGATTAACTTAAGATTACTATGATTGTCAGCTATTCCTTAGGTTTAAATTTTGTATCCACTTTTTTCGCTGTTTGTTTAATTCTCCTTAATGGCATACTTTTATGTGAAATTTAATGTATACACAATTACATTTGCAGTGGTCTATTTCATGTTTTCCCCTTGTTCCCTAGTTTGAAAATTCCCTGAAATTTCCCTGTAAAAATGTGCTCACCGAAAATGGAGAGTATGCATGTGCCATGCCATTCCCGCCACTCAACATGTGCCATGCCATTCCCTTCTGGGCACTCCTTAACTACTAAGCTTGTTTACATTATGTTTTATAAATTTGCCAAAATTTACTATTCGAGGAATAAAGCATTATAGGAGTAAGATATTTTTTTTACTTCTTATTTTTTATTCAGATTATGAATGATTCAGTAACATTAATCTATCCATATCTATGTATCTATATGTATGTATATATATGTAGGTACTCATTCGTTTTATCCACTGGATTAATTGTATATATATATATATATATATATATATATATATATATGTACAATTAATCCAGTGGATAAAACGAATGAGTACCTGATAACTATAGATATATAAAATATTTTTTTTTTGTAAATTTAATAAAAAATTAAAAGCATTTTTATGATTTTTTAATTAGTTACATTATAAGCAGATAAATTAACAATATGCTTGAGAACTCTTTTTATTTATTTCAGTTATTTTTGAGTGTAAGGATAATGGGCTTCAGAACAACCTGAAAGGAAAAACTGTTATTGAGGCAGCTCATTTATTCACGGATATTGAACAAGATGGTAAAAAAAAAATATATTTATAACTTTAGTTATAAAAACATTTATAATTAGGGCAAGAAATATTAACAGTTTATATATATATATATATATATATATATATATATATATATATATATATATATATATATTGTTTTTTTATTCTTTCCTCTGTGATTTAAGCCCACGTAAGGATTTTATTCGCCTTCATACTCTATGCCTTAAAGGCATACTACATGAAATTACAATTGTTTACATGATTTTCTTTTTTAGTTTTACATGATATGAATTTTTAATACAAAATTATAAATATTAACAAATAAAAAAAAATAAACAAATATTTATCAAACACAAAAAGTCAATTCAACAAAGTCAACAAGAAATCACCTACGCTGCCCATCACTGGTAAGTAAGTCGAAGTTGATAGATCTAATAAATTCAAGAAAGTCTGTCTTGAATTCAGTAAATAATTTTTTTTCCGTCTCAATCCAATTTCAAATGTTGATAACTACGCTTTTCATTAACTCAAATCGCTGTCTGTCAAATCGTTTACAGTCATATAGATAGATAGATAGAAAAAAAAACTTTATTCTGGGACTAAGTCCCTTCAGAATAACAATAATGTACAAAATAATAGAATATTACTGGCCTGAACGTTGAAACAATAAATGAAATTGATAAAATAAAATAAAAAGTAAAGAAAACCTTAGGTGCACAAGCTATATACAATACAGATACTACTATGTACAGAGCATTTAAAATTATGAATAAAACAATTAAAACTATGAACGAATCATTTGAACTATGAACAAAATTATATTTATTTATATATATTATATATTTAAATTTTTGAACATGTCCGTCTTCATCAAATAAGTCTGTTTGTATAATGTTGAATCTTTTAAGATATTTTTTTTTATTCCCATGTTCCGTTAGTACTTGCATAAGTTTGTAGTCATTACTGTGAATGCGCCTGTAATTCTGAAGTGTAATGTGTGGTACAAATCTGTGTAAGCTTGGTGAGTATGTTGAGGTCACCCATATTTTATTCCATCTTTTGATGAAATCAAACTTTAAATTCATCTTATTATGGGATGAAGGAGCTTGAGATGCATGGGGCTTTTAGCTGCTTCCTTTGCAAGATAATCGGCTCGATCATTAACTTCAATTCCACAATGTGCTTTTACCCATTTAGAGTCAGTACTTTTCCTACAGTTTTCATTATTAATAATTGGTTTCTAATGTGGTAAGTCAAGTAACCATGAATGTCTAAATTATAGAATTTTGTGTATGTTTTTATAGTAACGTGTGTGTCCGTTTGTAAAGGGTAGTTATATATTTATTCGGTTATTTTTAAAACTTATATTGATGTTATAAATTCCTGTCATCTTGAGCTCTGAATATACACATCGAATGTTATCACTGCCCTAACTACCGTCAGTAAAAACATGCGTATTTTTAAAGGTAATTTTTGGTCCAGTCCATAAACTTGTTTTGCAGGGTATAGACAAGATTTAAAGTCAGTGATTCTTTCTATTTTGTCCAACGTCAGGTCTTTGTATCCTTTCTTTCATTTTATAATGTTAAATAAGATAGTCCGTTCTTCAATTTTCATTTGGATTGGCAACAGTCCTACCCATAATATGTTGACCTCATATGAAAGTGTACGATAGCCCTTACATATCTAACTCGCAATTAACCTCTGAAGCCTCTCCAACTTCACCAAAATGTTCTTACATTGTACAGCTAGATGCCAGACATACACACCGCAGCGCATCTTAGGAAGTACCGCAGTTTCATAGATTTCTCTCCACATTTCCGATCTGATACCCTATATCGCTTTAGCAGTTACTGATAGTCAATTTATAATCCATAAAGTGTCGTTAGACAGATTGTCTAAATGTCTGTTCCAATTGAATTTTCTGTCAAAGAGTAGCGCTAAATATGATAATGGGTCACATTGAGTTAGTCTTACAGTATTGAGTAGTATATTCAATTCTGGTATAATTCTTTATTTTTTTTCCAAAGATTATATATTTTGTCTTTTTTAGATTAAAATCAAGTTTGTTACATTTAGCCCATTTTCTCAGCCTTGATAATTTTATGTTTTCTGTAATTCATCAAAATCTCTTATATCGTTCTATAACTATAATAAAACAATAATCGTCTGCGTATACTAATAATGTTGTACTTTTCTGTAAGTCTGTTTCGAAAATAGTATTTATTAACCTGTTCCATAGTATAGGTGATTAGGGATGGACCGTTACGAGCGGAACAGTTCGCGAAACGATTTCCATCTGTGGAACGGTTCGGAAAGAAACGAGACCCAAGGAAACTTCATTCCGCCGGAATGGAATCTAAGAATATAAACTTCTTTTAGTTTCAATAGGTAAATGTTCGGCAGAAAAGACAAATAGGAACAAAAGGGATTTGTATCAATTAAGGTTAATGAGCTGTTTGCCGCCGAAGTAGATTAACGGAATAGTCGAATAGGTTGTTTGCTTCAAAAGTGAACCATAACTACTAAATTTAATTTAGCGTTTGATTAAATATAAATAAATCTAATTAAATAAAATAGAATAAGATCCAAACCATAATTTTAAGATAGATATTTGTAAATTTAAAAAATACCAATTATAATTAAAAGATTCAGATAAACTATTAAAAAATTAATAGTTAATGCTATTATTATTATATAAAATTAATACTAATATTAAATAAGCATTTTAATCAAATTTTATTATCCTGATAACTATTATTAAGACCAATAATAAATATGTGGTTCTGTTGTGCAAATTAAATTTGTTATAGAAAATTTTATATCAGAGGAAGGAGATGGTGTCCGGGGTGGCGGTCATAAAGAAACTAAAGTAGTAGACATACTACTAAATAGAAAATCTAAACTCTCTATTGAAAACAAAATACTTATCTACAAGAAAATACTGAAACCTACTTGGACTTACGGATTTGAACTTTGGGGGACAGCAAAACTTTCTAACATCAAACGCATCCAATCCTTCCAGTCCAAAGTCCTTCGAACAATAGTCGATACTCCTTTCTATGTAACCAACAAAACCCTATACCATGACCTTAATATCCCATTTGTTCTAGACCTTATTCCAGCAAAATTCTCCAAATTTCACCAGAACCTTACCTATCATCCAAATCCCCTTGCACTATCCCTATCCAGCACCACCCATCCCTAGAATCCTCCAAGAAGGTTAAAACGGCAGTGGCACCGCGACCTTTTATAGTTTGTAATTATTGAAGTTCTGGCAATGGCCAGATCCTCCACTCACGACATGAGTGTATGTGGCTAAAACACTCTTGCTCAATTTCCACTGGGTTTAGCCCCAGTGACGCGGTTGAGAGAGAAGTGCAGGAATCTCTTGGAGTCATGCTTTTCCCTCCACAGTTGGAGGGACAAGTCTGGTTTGGAGTTCTCCCGCCAGATTGTAAATATTGTATATAGGTATGTATGTGTTCTTTTTATTGATTTATTTTTAGGTTATTTTATTCTTATTTATTGTATACCTATTATTATTTCTGTATAATTTATTATATTTATTGTACATAGAGTGTGAATGTGATCTCTGAACACTATTATAAATGTCCTTGAGACAGATTGTAATATTTTTCAATAAATAAGTTAAAAATTAAAAAAAAAAAAAATATATATATATATTTTCTGTAACTTGGGGCAAGAGAATATTTAAGGAAAATTAAGACAAATATGTGAGTTTTACCAACCAAAAAAAAGTTGTTTTAGAAAAAAAAAGATAAAAACAAAAAAATCTATAATATAAAATTTAGAATGAATTAAAAAACCAAAACGGTAAAAACTTTATAAAAATTAATTTAAAATTTGGAATTTAAAAACAGAAAATTGTTCTTTACCAGCTGATAATCGAGTCAGACGAACGTTAAACAACATATCACTTTTGAAATGATTCGTTGACATGGTGGCCACCATACTCTACATTTCTTTGGAAATCATATACAAATTAGGGTGATTTTTCTTCAGATCAAATCACGACTTAATAGGAAGTTATTAAACATATAAAATATCCTTTTCTAAATACCTGTTTAATTCAATCATTGCCTTTGATTCAGGTGTCCCATTTAGAGAATGTTTCTCTTGAGCTCTCATCTATGTTACTAAAACTTCCAGTTTGTTTTAGTTTTGTTTATCTTCATTTTTCTCTGCCTCAACGATTTTCAGTCGTTTTAAACAGTTTTAGTATTACACATATTGGCTTCATTATTCTCTATCGAGCTTCATGTATTGTTCGGAACGAAGATGGATCGGAAAGAGAACTTGAACGAATTCCAATAATGGAAAATTCCGTTCCGACCTGTATACGGAATCGCCCCTATAGATGATAGTGTTGATCCTTGAGGAGTCCCTAGCGTCAATTTCTCGCCAATACAATGAAACTTTGTTTGGATTGCAAGTTGTCTTTCAAAAAAATCATTTTGAAGGATGATGTATATGTTTTTTGGACAGTTATATTTCTTTAGATTATTTAAGATCGCAGGCCATCAGGCGTTGTTAAAAGCTCCTGCGATATCCAAAGATACAACTAGTAAATTACTGTTTTGACGGATTGTTCTAATGATATGGTCGTTCAATTCACGGAGAGTATCGTCAGTTCCAGATTGGGGTCTGAATCCGAATTGGTGTCGGTAGAGTATATTGTTACGTAAGTAGATGATATATTAATCTATTTTTTCAAAAATTCTTCATTACAGGAAGCTTACTTAATGGTCTCAGTGAAAACGAATTAGTCTTATGAATCAATGTTAATTCACCCACTTTCCAGCTTGTAAGAAATTCTTATCTTTCAAACAAGGTTTTATAAAGTTCAGTTATCAATTTTGGAATGAAGTCGGCTATCTTTCATCATCATATTATTCTTTTGTCAATTTTGTCTATTCCTGGTGCTTTCTTGTCATCTAATTTACTAATAACTTGTAATATTTCAAAATCCCGGATATTGGTGTCATCTTCATTAGCAGGTGGT